GGCAGGGGCCTTCGCGGCGTCATCTGGGTGGAGGATGGCACCTACGAGATCGAGCCCATTCCCCATGATCCAGCCTTCCGGCACATCCTCTACCGCATGGAGGAGGCCAACAGCCCCGTGGGCCCCACCTGCGGGCTGAGCCCGGAGGAGCTGCAGCACCAAGAGGCTTTGCTGCCCTGGTTCAAGGCCCCCCAGGCGGAGGAGGAGGAGGAGGAGATGCTGAAGGACTGGTGGACACACATCAGGTATGTGAAGATGGTAGTGGTCGTGGACAACGTGTGGTTTGTGAAGTCGGGCAGGAACGAATCTGAAGTTTTGAGGCAAGTCATAGAAATCGTCAACATAGGGGACTCTCTGTACGAACAGCTTTCTGTTCGGCTCTTTCTTGTGGGGTTGGAGATCTGGACCAAAAGCAACCTTATAAACATTACAAACTCTATCGGCAAGGTACTTGATGACTTCAACAGATGGCGGAAGTCTGACCTGTCTCCACGGATGCGCCATGATATCGCTCACTTATTTGCATTTCAGAGCTTTGGAAGAAGCCTGGGATTGGCGTTTCTAGGGTCCATATGTGATAACCAGTGGTCATCAGCTGTTGCTTCCTTTACTGACAGGAAGTTGTCTTCATTTATTACCACGTTTGTCCACGAGCTGGGCCACGCTCTTGGGATGCGCCATGACCGACATGGCTGTAAATGCAGACGAAAGAAATGCATTATGTACGAAAGCGATGCTGACACCGATGCGTTCAGTGACTGCAGTTACAAAGACTACTTTGACCTGCTTGGGCGTGGCGCCAGCTGCATTCGTCAACCACCAGCACCCGGCACTTTCTACACCATGAGGCGTGAGTACTGTGGGAATAAGATGGTAGAAAGCAGAGAGCAATGTGACTGTGGTTCAGCATCAAACTGCAGAAAGGATCCTTGTTGTCACCCAAACTGTACGTTTACTGCAGGTTCAGTCTGTGCTTCTGGAAAATGCTGCAAGAGCTGTCGGGTCCTTCCAGCAGGAACGCTCTGCAGAGCGAGTACTGGTGACTGTGACCTGCCAGAGTATTGCAACGGGACTTCCCCTCGGTGCCCGCCGGACGTGTACATACAAGATGGAACCCCCTGCAAAGATGGTGCTTATTGCTATCGAGGAAAATGTGCTTCCCATAGTAAACAGTGCCAGCATCTCTTTGGCAAACAAGCTAGGCCTGCTCCTTTAGATTGCTTCAAAGCAGTGAATACTCGAGGTGACCGGTTTGGGAATTGTGGTATTCATAACAATATCCATTTTACGAAATGCAGTATTGAGAATATCCTATGTGGTAGGATCCAGTGTGAAAACATCGACAAATTGCCTTTCTTGCAGAACCATGTAACGCTAGTCCAAACCCCTGTTGGTGATAAAAAGTGTTGGGGTCTCGACTATCATGTAGGGATGCCAATAGCTGATGTGGGAGCTGTGGAAGATGGCACACCATGAGGTAGTGATATGCTTTGTATCAACAGGACATGTACCAGCATATCACGGCTGCACTACGACTGTAACGTGACAAAGTGTCATGACAGAGGAGTGTGTAACAATTGTAAGAACTGTCACTGCAGATATGGCTGGGCTCCTCCGTATTGTGAATGGAAAGGATTTGGAGGCAGCATTGACAGTGGACCCCCTCCAGCCAGGGAGATTTTTCAGAGAGCAAAAATAGAAGCAACACTCCTTAGTCGTCTTTTTCTTTGTATCCTTGGAGTAACCATTACCGTATGTTGCAAATGGGAAATAGTAGGCTGGCTTAGGAGGAAAAAGGCCCAATTCCACAGAAGAACATAGCAGTTGTTTCAAATACTGGAAATGCCAGTAGTTCCTAAAGGAGAACACCTGCTGGTGAGTCAAAATCCACCACAAAGCACTTGCTGAAGACCGCCAAGCAGTAGCTTTGGATGCTTCTGAGGAAATCTCCCTTGAGCGGAGCCAGCTGATAACTTGTCAAAATAATTCAACACATTCTGAATAGTTCTAGTCTCATGTGATGTCATTAAATGCAGAGTAAATGTTATCTTTGTTTATTTTAAGTTAATAAATGCAGGCAGTAAGGCATGCTGTTCTTTTTTTCTTTGCACCTTGAGTCCTTAAACTGGTTAGGAAAACTGTAGGTATAGCTTTTATGCTTCATAGCAACAGTTCACAAATGTAAACTTGTTAAAACAGGTGTAAAGAAATTATTTGCTACAATTTACTCCTTCATCTAATGTTTTCTCCAATTCAGGCAGAGAGATGTTTGTGAACATCTTGTTTCTGTCATTAATAACCAAAGAGAAAAAACTGCTCTTGCAGTCTAATTTAATTCACGTCTGTGACACTCAAGCAGGCAAGAAACGGATATTGCGGTGAGATGCAGGTAGGTGTCTGTGGCATAAGCCCTTCCAGCTGTTTCCAGGGAGTAGCTCTTCAGGAGGGAGGTAGATTGTAGGGAACAGGGTCTTCATTTTGTGAGATGGTAGAGAAGTATCATCCAGATCGCACCAGTAAGCATTACATTTCTGAACTATCAGATATCTGTCAAGAGTGTAGTGACACCAAACTTCACAGTCACAGATTATCTTTCTTTTCTGGAAACTTTCCAGTGCCTTGACTGCTGGGTTCTTCTGAGAAGTGCTATGTATTTTATTGTTGCTAAGAAGAGCTGTCTGTGAGGTTGCACAAGTTAACTGGATTTCTGAAATATGTGGAACTATTCTGCACGTCTTCCCCACCCAGAATTCCTGCAATGTTTGACAGATGTTTCATCTATCTTAGGGATTTTTCTTGATTTACTATGTGATTGCTTCTTAAGCTGTTCCTGAATGTGTCCTTGCAGCTCTACAGAGTGCCGCACAGGAGCATTGTATTTTTCATTTTTTTAACACGAGACAAAATGTGTCTAACTTATGAAAAAATACAAGAGATGTGGAAATACCATGAATTGTATTTTTATTATTTATATTATAGCAGTGACAATCTTTCAACCAGATCAGCATAAAGAGGAGTCTGTAGTCCGGATTGACAGTGAAGACTTTATTCTACAGGACTGGTGTTTCTGGATTTAGGGCTATATTACACTTGTCTGCTACCAAAGAATTATTTGTATTTGAAAAGCAAAGACCACATTTTTAGCAAACATTCTATAAGGGCAGGATAAGTACCCCAACACTTGCAACATTTAGGAAGAAAGAAGTTGGTGACTCTACAGGTGATGACGGTAAACTCTTGCTCCTCCCAGGTATGACATTTAGGTTTTTAGAAGACACATTTTCCTGTTGTTTTTTCTTTTTTTTTTAAAGATTGTGTTCTGTGTCTAAAAATGGCTGGTTACATTATGATTGGATGTTAAATACAAAGGATGTGATTCATGGTTCTTCATGTCTTTTTGTCTAGAGCAAATGGGTCCTTAAATTGTTATCTGTATTTGTCTGG